ATCCATGTGAACATGAAGGATGTAAAGTCTCCATCCTTCTTAATGGCTGCATAGTATTCCATGGTGTACATATACCACAGTTTGTTGATCCATTCTATTTCTAAATTTTTACCCAAGCCAACATAGGTAGGCTGCTGTTAAAGATCCCTATAGCTAGAAAGTATATATTGGGCTTTCCATTTTGAGGTAGATCGCTTGATTCTGGCAATGGCACTTCTAACAGCCATGATTTTCCAGGATTCAATCTGTTAAGCTAACGGTATGATTGTTTTGTCCTCTTGTAGTAATAGTCAGTTCTTTCCTGGCAAATATGGACTATGTGAAATAATGTTCATTTCACTCTGCAAAAAGTATGACTGCCAAATCAGAGTAACACACGTTAGGTAGACTTTTGAAGCATCTAAATGGTTAGCGACAGTTTAAAGATTTGGGCTGCTGGGCAGTGCCTGTGGCTTAGTGGGTAGGGCACTGGCCCCATATACTGAGGGTGGTGGGTTGCAACCTGGCCCCAGCCAAACTGCAACAAAAAATAGTGGGCACCTGTAGTCCCATCTACTCGGGAGGCTAAGGCAAGAGAATTGCCTAAGCCCAAGAGTTAGAGGTTGCCATGAGCCATGACGCCATGGCACTCTACTGAGAGTGATAAAGTAAGACTCTGTCTCCAAAAATAAAAATTAAAAAAAAGGACCTGGGCTGCTTTGGTTATAATTAACATAGCTTCATAAAGATAGTGTTTTATGTTTTAAAGGAATACATTTCTCAGCCACTAAACCATGGGCAAATCTGTAAACCTGAATTAAGCTTCCTGTAATTCCAAATATTTTTATTATTATTGTTATTAATTTATTTATTTATTTTTGAGACAGAGTCTCAAGCTGTCACCCTGGGCAGAATGTTGTGGCATCTTAGCTCATAGCCATCTCCAACTCTTGGGCGCAAGCTATCCTCTTGCCTCAGTTTTTCTTTTCTTTTTTCTTTTTTTAGGAAAAAGGATCTTGCTTTTGCTCAGGCTGATCTCAAACTCTTGAGCTCAAGCAATCCACCTACCTTGGCCTCTCAGAGATTATAGGAGTGAGCCACAGTGCCTGGCCCAAATATTTTTATTATTAAGGGAAAAGAAAATGGGGTAGTTAAATCTTAACTTAGTGAGTTTTTTTTTTTTAATCTGGTAATTGGGTATCATTCAGTTTCGTGGTATTGATAATCCTGTCTGAGCAATCAGTGATTAACAAGTACCTTTCTTTTTTCTGTACAATTCAGTTCTATCTGTATCTCTTGCTTTGTGTTGACATTATATAAAGAGAGTGTGAAATCAGGAAATGAAAACTACATTAGAAAATTCAATAATTTTTATTATACATATATATGCTTTTTTCTATTTTAAAAATATGTATTTTCATTCATCAATATATTAAAATTTCACATAACTTTGATTTCCCAGGAGGGAATAAGGCTGAGTCAACACAGTTTACATATGTAATTAAAACCAAAGATTCTACTAAAAATTGTGAATAGGTACTTTTCATAAATACTGTGTAAGTGGAAATGCCATTGATGAGTTTCCTAATGTTTGGGGGTTTTTTTTGAGACAGAGTCTCACTATGTCACCCTTGGTAGAGTGCTGTGGCATCACAGCAACTTCAAATTCTTGGGCTCAAACAATTCTCTTGCCTCACCCTCCCAAGTAGTTGGGACTACAGGTGCCCACCACAACGCCCAGCTATTTTTGTTGCAGTTGTCATTGTTGGTTAGCTGGCCCGGGCTGGGTTTGAACCTGCCAACTTCCGGGTATGTGGCTGGTGCTATAACCATTGTGCTTTGGGTACCGAGCCCTAATGTTCTTTTCTGATATTAGTTCTGTGCATTCTGCATACCTCGCCTTAACATTTGTGTTGGCTGCTAAATCTTCATTAAATATCAGCATTAGAATTTTAAGTCAGTTTGTTGGTCATTACAGCCAAATGGAAAACAGAGGTTGATTTGACACTATAAACTAAGTGATACGGATTTTAGAAACATATAGAAGTAACTTATTTACAATTTCTTTTCAGTTCATCCAGAGCAGCTTCCTCCGAGGCCATGGATTACATTAAAAGAACGAGACCAAATTCTGCCATCAGGTAAATAATTTTTCTCATTTTTAAAAATTTTTTTTCAGAAACATTTAAAATATTGTTTGTGCTTCATTATCTATAATTAACAAGCTCATTTTACCTCTTGCAAGTAGATTAGTTTAAAAATATAGATGGACGGACTTTGAAGAATCCACATTAAGATTGGCCTATCTACAAGCATCTTATGTCTTTCATAGTAATGCAGTGCTTGGCTTCAAATTTATTTTTGTAATACAACTTTTGAAATGGCATCTTTACATACAGTATTGGATGATTTAAGAAAAATAAATGATGAGTCTGAAAATTTTGAAACTACTTCTCTTTCTTGAGAAGTACACTAATAACATTTACAGAAGAATAATTTAGACTGGATATAAATTTGCTATATTGGCAACAAATTATGATACCAGTTCAGGAGTGTTGGAATAGTAGAGGGTGAGTATTCAAACAATATAAGGATATAGTACAGTATTTCTGGAATTGTAGAAAATATAAACCGTTATTATCTCTTTGTGGGGACCAAAAATGATTCGACATTTATAGGGCTATACTACATGTTAGATATTTTACGCTTGGGAATTCTATTTAAAATAAGTTATGAATTATTGTTTCACAGGAATAATAGTTTTCATTATAGCTAATGTCATTTTAAAAGTAAATGAAAATTTAAACTGTTTTAATGTGAGAGTTAAACCAGTCGTGGAATATTGCTGCTTTAATAATTTTTAAAGGGAAAATCAGTTTATTATGAACTATTTTGAACTATATAAAGCCCTCTGTTTTTGAGTTTGGGGCTTTTTTTTTTTAAGTTAAGAAAAGAGAATTAAAGACAAGTCATTTCTTTTAGTATTGGAAAATGTGTATGTAACATCTTTGGGAATTTATTTGCATTTTAATGACATGAGAAATTGTATTGTGTCTTCAGAGGTAATAGTTTTAAAACTGCCATAATCTGTTAGCATAGTATCAGCCTGTTGTAAGAGGCACTATGTCAGTATGCTCAAAGACAATGCTTCTGTTATCAGGATGCCCATTAATGGTCTAAGTGAAAGGAATATTCAAAGTTTTCTAAAGACTTGTGTGTTTATTTTATAATTGGCTTTCCCTAGTGTATAATTAATTATTTCATTACTGATGTTAAAAATACATACATATTACCAAAGTAATCTTCTTTTGCACACAAGTAAACATGATATTGAAAGCTTTCTTAATATTGCACAGCTACATTTCCATTTAGAAAAGAAGCAGTAGCTGGGTGGGAGGGTGCTCACACCTATAATCTTAGCACTTTGGGAGATCAAGGCAAGAGGATTACCTGAGCCCAGGAGTTTGAAACCAGACTGAGCAACATTGTGAGACCCCATCTCTACAGAATTTTTTTTTTTTTTAATTAGCCTTGCATGATGGTGTTCACTTGTACTTCTAGCTATTCCAGAGGCTGAGGTGAGAGGATTGCTTGAGTCTGGGAATTAGAAGTCACAGTGAGCTATGATGGTACCACTGCCCTCCAGCCTCAGCAACAGAGTGAGACTCTGTAAAGAAAGGAAAACTAAGAGAAAGAGAACAATAGAAACAAGTTTTTATTAGTTGTTAAATTCTCCAAGTAATGCATTCTGAGGTTTTACTTATTGAAAAACTAGTGTGGGCTTTTCTTGTGATATACAGTGCTTCCCTGAATAAAATCTGAGTGCTAAGAAAGTTACTGCTTACAGTGCCTTTACTTCTGATGCATAGGGCATGTGTATAATAACTAGTGAAAGTTATGGGTGATTTATAGCCAAAAAACTATAATGATAAACTATGTAGAACTCAAGCCCAGATAGTGGAAAAAAAAGGTATCAGAAAGAAACAGAATATGGGAGAGTAGTGATAATAAGCAATTTAGCTAATTTTCATTTCTGTTTGAAAATTGCTGGCTCATTCTGAGACACTGACACTGATATGAAGCGTTTTAGATATATTGTGGAAGTTGTGGGGCAGGGCATGATGGCTCACGCCTGTAACCCTAACACTCTAAGACAGTGGTTCCCAACCTTCCTAATGCCACCATGTATTTTCATTGTTACAAAGGGGTCTTCACGCACAGGTTGAGAACCGCTGCTTTAAGAGATTCCCAGGTAGAAGGAAGATTGCTTGAGGTCAGGAGTTGGAGAGCAGCCTGATCAGGAGTGAGACCCTTTCTCTATACACAAAAAAAGAAAAATTAGCTGGGTATGGTGACATGTGCCTGCAGTCCCAGCTATTTGGGAGGCTCAGGTAGGAGGATGGCTTGAGCCCAGGAGTTTGAGGTTGCAGTGAACTATGATGATGCCACTGTGCTTGAGACCCTGTGACAGTAACAGGGAGACACTGTCTCAAGAAAAGGAAAAAAAAAAAAACAAAACAAAACAAGAAATTGCAGTCTTAGGTTTTTCTATGAAACCTCACTTTACAAAGTGTTAGGAAAAATCTGAATAAAGCAGTTAATAATCTGCCTTGCTGCTTTTCCCCCTTACTTTCCAAAAGACATTTCAAATTCAGAGAAACAGAATAAGGTAAATGTAGTGGCTTGGAAACGGTTCTGGATCATTTCAAGATAAATAATCAGAATACAAATCAACTCAAACTGAAATTTAGCCCCCAGTGTACAAAATGGCCACCAGTCAGACCCCCAGAGGACCACTGAACTAAATTTCTCTTTAACTTCAATCAAGTGTTAACTTCATCTTGAATTAATCACATTTTATTTAAATAAGCGATTCACAACTGTATCTGTCCATTATAATCATGTGACTACTCGTACTCTGATATTCTGACTTAATTAGTCTGGAGTCAGGCCCTTAGTGTCACCTTGTTGGGTTTTTTTGTTGTTGTTAATGCTCTACAAAATGATTTTAGTGGGCAGTGAGGATTGCTGACAAAAATTGTGGCTTTTCAGACTTAAATGTGCACATGCATATGAATCACTTAGGGATTTTGTTAAACTGCAGATTTTGTTCAGTAGGTGTTTGTGGGGCCAGAGTCTGCATTTCCAAGTTTCCAGGTAATCTTAATACTGCTGGTATTTAGAGCCACTTTTGAGTAGCAAGGATATTGAACTGTCTTTTCCTATCTGTTAGTTTGCTCACCACCCTTTTATGGTTAAGGATGTTTTAAAACAGGAATTTCATTTTAGAAATATTTGACTGGCAAAAAAGATTCTCTTACAAGGAAATGTTGTTAGTTCCATACTCTTCTGCCTCAGAGTAGGGACAGCAGTAAGAGCCTCCCCCTGTTAAGTATAGCTATTTTGTTACTAAAAATTAATGAGATTAGAGCCCTTTAATTAAATGAAACCAAAATTTACCTTCATTTCATCTATTTTGGGAAGGGTTTCTTAGCAAATTACATGAAAAAAATTAGCACTCCAATCTGAATTTTTATTAAGATAAATTCTCTCAGAAATCTCAAATGTGAACTGGTAAGTCTGATTCAAGACAAGTGAAATAACTTTGATATGGTGGACTCCAGTTAAGTTCTGTTAGATAAGAGTTTAACAGAATCTTACTCTTGCCTAGACATTTTACAGTGAAGATGTTGGGGCGTGGGGCTGTGCTTGTGCAAGTGTACACACTGTACTGCTTTAGAAAAAGTTGCCTAATTTTGTCCCTTTTGTCTGTTGTTTTTTTCCCCCCACTTCTTAGCATCATTCACGGTTATGTGTTACAATGTGTTATGTGATAAATACGCCACCCGGCAGCTATATGGCTATTGCCCATCCTGGGCATTAAACTGGGAATACAGGAAAAAGGGAATTATGGAAGAAATTGTTAACTGTGACGCAGATATCATTAGTCTTCAGGTAACACCATAGAAATTAAATTGTTTTTAACTTAAAGGTGAACTTAAAGATAATAGAAGATCTTATCATTGGGAGAGGTCCTCTGTGCAAAGCAAAACTCAGAAGGACTATTTTTCTCCTTCTCTTTAAAAAAAAAAATGACAATTTAAATAAGCATTTAATACTTTTCCACAGTGAAACTATTTTGCTGAGTACAGCCATCCACTTAACATTCATTTACTGTTCTTTTAAGTGAAAATAATTTCATCTATTATCCATGTTAATAATTTACCTCATGAACAAATCATTGGTATTGATGAAAGAGAAAACACAGAAGATTTTACTCTTTTGGCAATATAAATTAAACTTATTTTGGAGTCTGTTAAAGAAAGTGTTTGCCCACAGTTGCTTTATAAAGATAAACATTTAAAAATATTATACTGTAAATTATTCATTTTCACTTTACTTTAGAATCCACCTCTAAAATTTAGATTTTTTTTGTTCTATAAACATTTTATTAGAATGAACTTAGCTGAAGAAACAACATGCATGTTTTTATGAATTACATTTTATTACTGCTTTTTATCCTTAAATGATGACACAAAAAGACAAGTAGTTTTTAGTAAATTTTTTAGTAACTTTGAAAGCATACTAAGTCCTTAAAGATTTAAAATTTTTTAATTGAAAAATTTATATGTTTATGGGGTACAGTGTAATGTTCTGATACATATATACATTGTAGAGTGAACGAATCAGGCTAATACATTCATCACCTCAAATACTTATTTCTTAAAAGTGTTTTAAAATTTTAAGTATTATACTTTCACACATTCTTTTCAATATATATAATTTGAGAGAAAAAATTATTTTAAATATTTTTTCTTAAAAAATAGCTTGATTTATTTTTATATTGCTTAGGAAATAACATGAAATAAATCTTCAACAATTAAAATTTCTTCTAAACACTGAGACTAAGTCAGATTTGGAGGAGGAGGAAAACAAAATTAGGATATTGTTACTTAATTGTCCACCTTTTGTTTGGTGTTTATAGTGATAACAGCTTCATATTCTTCTAAGTATAGTTTGAAGGATAAAATGTAGTAACCTTAAAAAATTGTTTTCTTATTATAAAACTAATTCCATATAGTATTATAAAGTGTTTATTCTAGGGAAGTTGAAAGTATTAAAAAAATATAAAGCATGATAGAGGAAAACATTTAATCTCATATCCTGAAGATTGTTGTTGTGTTAAGACACTGGAGTATTTTCCTCTGTTCATTTTCTTTTTATTCTCTTAACTATTTATTTATAGATACATTTGCAGAATAAACTTGGTATCACACTATTGTTGTATTTTGTTTCTTCTTTATTGCACTTAATGGATTTTCCATGTCACTAAAATTCTTCAGAAGCAATTATATGACCATATGTTAATTAAGCCTTCTTTCTATTATTAGACTAGTTAGGAGGTTTTGGTGTCAACCATAATATTATGAACATCTTCATAATAAATCATTTCTTAATATTTGATTATTTCATTTGGAAAGATTTGTTAAAAATATTTTGAGTCAAATAATAAAAAGATCTAATTTAATAATTAACACAGACCATTGGATGATTAGTATTTAGGTACCTAAAATTTTATTTTTGTTTGATCTTTTTTTTTTTTATCTTAATATTTCTCATTCTTTGGTATCATTCTTTTCTACCATAGTTCAGAAAGATAAATCATTTTAAAAATTACTTCTGTATATAAAATTTACTCTTCCCTACCACTTCATTGATCATATACTCAAATTGCTCTGTTTAATTACCAGTCTTGAGGAAGTAGACTATAGTAGAATGAACTCTAAACTGGGGGTCAAGAGGCCCAAGGTGCTCCCTTTACTAACTAGCGTTATGAACATGAGAAAACCATGCCACTTTTCTGGTTCTTTCATGTTTAAAAAGCTGCCATTGTCAAGTGGTAGCTGCTAGCGATAAAGAAAGATAGATAATATCTGTTGTATCAATTATTTTATTTTAATTACTCATAATACTGAAAATTTTGATATCTTAATCAGAGTTTTCCCTCTGTCATATAGATGATAACCTTTCTTTCATCTCAGGAAGTGGAAACAGAGCAATACTTCACTCTTTTTCTGCCAGCATTGAAGGAGCGTGGATATGATGGGTTTTTTTCTCCAAAGTCACGTGCCAAAATCATGTCTGAGCAGGAGAGAAAGCATGTGGACGGTTGTGCAATATTCTTCAAAACAGAAAAGTGAGTTAAGGAAACAAAGCACAATAGTGTAATCTTATATTTTAAAATTGTCACAATTTAAATTTGTCTTTCATTTGATCCTATATACTTGATCTTAGCCAAAAGGCCAAAAAGCGATGATTTAACCCTATAAAATAGACAAAAAGCTAGAAATCAAGAATTATACAAGTTAAAACTGTAATTAATGTTTTATTTCTTAGCCTACGAATTTGAAACAAGGATATTTATTGTATTTATGCTTTTATTGCCAAATTATACTGAAAATTTAAGAGAGATAGACTTGAATATAGTTTCATTTCAAAGTATATTTTCATGAAGTAAAATATTAGTTTTGGTGTTAAAAACAAGTAGTGCCTTTTAAGATTTCACAGTAAGTGAGCTGGGTTTTTCTGTAATTTGCTTTTTCAGGATCCTGGCCTTTTTCAGGATCATTTATTTTATCAACGTTTTATCCTTTCCAGTTAACATTTTGTACAGTTGTTTAGTCATTTATTCACTGAATGTTTACTGAGCATTGCTTTGTGATGTCCTGTTCTAGACACAAAAGTCGACAAGAAATAGTTTCTAATCTCACTGAAAGCTCAAGTCTGGTAGGAAAAGATACACATACAAGACAGTTACAATATCATATGATATATATATGAAGTAGAGATATGTTTAGGTAAGAGAGGGCAGGAGGGAGGCACAGACTGTGGAGGTGGGGAGCAAAAGGGTTAATTGGGACAGGGCAATGGAATGAAATATGTGAGGTCTGATATTGAATGAGATTGAGTCTCATGGTTAATAGTTTAGATTTGATATATTAGATAGGAACTCATCTATTTATAGGATAAACATTATACATCCTTGTTTAATACCTATTATAGCGAAGCTGGTTGGCATATTTACTGATATAGGCATATTATCAACATGGCATATTATTTTAAGTAAATGATTTCAGTGAATTTGGAAGATAGTTGGTCTACTTATTATTTATTTATACCTATTTTTATGTCTTTCTATGGATTTTTGGGGGAAACATCTTTGTTGATATATCCCATAGATTTTTTAGTAGAGAGATTCTTATTTTGGTTAATTAGTGCACATTCTTATAGTATTAGAGAGCAAAATAGACTAAATTTTTCTAGTATTTTGGTAGTTTTTCACAAATTTTAGATTAACAATTGCTTTCATAGTTACGTGTTTCTTAATTATGACAATACATTCTGAGAAATATATCATTAAGTGTTTTGTTGTTGTGTGAATGTCAGAGTGTCCTTACACCAGCCTACATGGTGTTGCTTTCTATACACCTAGGCTGAATGGTATTGCCTAGGCTACAAACGTGAATAGCCTGTTATTATACTAAATACTGTAGGCGATTGTAATGCAATGATATTTGCATATTTAAACATATCTACACATAGAAAAGGTAACGCACTGTGCTACAATGTTACAGTGGCTACACCTATCATCATTAGGTGATAGGAATTTTTCAGCTCCATTATAATCTCACGAGACCACTGCCATATATGTAGTCTGTCTTTGACACAAACATCGTTATATGGCACATGACTATTCTCCTGGAGTGTTTATCCAATATCAGCTCTTTTCTAATTTATATGGATTGTCTTAATATTTTTTGTCTCATTTAATTTTAAAGTAATTTTCTGGGAAGGGAAGGGAGGTATGGATCTATTTCCTTATTTTTATAGACAAAGAAACCATGACACAAGCAAGTTAACTTGCCCAATTTGCACAGTAGTCTGATTTTATAGTCTATGCTTTTAACCATTATGATATACTGAATCTTTAGGCTTCTTGTTTGAGCTTCCCATGTTACTTGGACCTCTTATAATTACTTAATTTGAAAAAACTGCCTTGAATTTGACATTTGTTTCCTGGGTTCATACATACATTTCCTTGAAGCACTATAATTTTAAAAAATGCACTGATAACATTGAGACATCTAATATCAAGCTCCTTTTCCACCTGCCATTGCTTATTTCAAGATAATACGGAAGATTTTTATCATTCCCTTCAGAATTTTGAGAGGAAATATCTAAAATTTCTTGGTAATTTCCTAGAGATAGTAAGGTTTTGAAAACATGACTATCACTGTTATCTAGGAAACTATAAAGACTGGATATTGCACATTGATTCTTGAATTACTAAAAATACTGTGAACTAGTTAAGTAATGAGCAAATAGGAAATACTCAGCTGTGTTGTCTGTTTTTCTTCCCTTACAAACTCTTTTTTTTCCTAAATAGTAGCATGGACCTGGTAACAGATGAAGACTCTGAGTGTGACACATCATTATATTATACCTCTAATGAATTTCTTTCTTGGAATGACAGAACTAAATATACCTCCCTCTGTCTCAGTACCAAATGTTTATCCACGTCATGTTAGCCAACTGTCCAATGCCAAACTATTTGGAATTTAATATAAAGTACACTATCCTACCTTTATTCTTTCTTCAGATTGAAAAGATAATGCAAAGAAAAGACTGAGTTCTGACACCAGATGTTTCTCCTGTTTATTTAGCTGTATAATCTTAAACAAGTCACTTATCCTCTCTGGACCTGTTTCCTCATTTGATATCCTTACCTTGCCAAGATCATTTTTGTATATAGTTTACAAAACTAACAAAGCTAAATATAGCTGTAGATGAGTAATTTGACTCTCTGTACTCATTCTCCAAGTCTTATTCTTCTAAAACCACAGTATCTGATAATTCCTAATCTTCGATGATGATTGTTTGATTGTGTGTGGGCAGTAATGTACACAGTAGGTAACAGTAAATGAAAAGTATAATAATCACTATTTCTAACAAAATCTAATAGAAATCTCTCAGCTATCATGATGAGTCTTTAACAAAGACTAGGACACAGGTCACCAATATTCAGATAAGTAGAATACACTAAAAATTTCTTAAATCACATTATTATAGTTTAATTTACTTTGAGGGGATTCAGAAGCTACTTCAAGATTTGCCAGCAATTCATACCTGTAATCTCAGCATTTTGGGAAGCCAGGTAGGGGGGATTGCTTGAGGCCAGGAGTTTGAGACCAGCCTGGACAACATAGCAAACCCCATCTCTAGAAATGAATAAAATAAGATTTGGCAGCTTCTTTTGGTTGTCATTATGAATATCAATAATTAGATGGATAGAGATATTAGAAAATAGAATTTTGATTGACAATATACCAGAAGCCCTTTATTTCAACAAGAATTATCTAAAGCCCAAAGCATTTTATTAAACACACTAAAGTATTTTTTGCTGTATTTTTTCTATAGACCAGGTCTACTACTTGAAGAAATTCAAAATGGGAAAAAATAGAGATAAAAGCATACCTGTAGCATAGTTGCTATTCCTGAGGTTAGCAGTTTTGATCTTTTGATCATGCTTTATTTCAAATCCGTAAGAAAGGGAAAGATGAGAACAGCAACTGAGAAGAGTGTGTCGGTGACACTGTGCAGAGGCAGTCTCCCTCATAGAACTGGAAGCTCAGCTTGTCATGGTGCTTACTTCTTGCTGTAGTGCCCCTACTTTGTAACCTGCTTTCTGTCTCAGAGGTACTGGTAAGCTCGTGTCCTTGCTTTTCCCCCTATAGTTGTGGAAAGAGGGCCATCAGAGGTTATAGGATGGTACCAAAATGTCATAGTATCATTTCAAAATGCCATAGTGCAATGCTCCCATTTACTGGTCTCTCAGTTATTAATTTCTTGTGTCATAAGTGTTGGTTGCATTTAGAAGTTTTATTTTATTTTATGATGGTCTCCCTTTGACACCCTTGGTAGAGTGCCGTGGGTCATAGCTAGCAGGAACCTCAAGCTCTTGGCCTCAAGTGATCCTCTTGCTTCAGCTTCCCAAATAGCTGGGACTACAGTTGCCCACCATAATGCCTGGCTAGTTTTTAGAGATGGAATCTCACTCTTGCTGAGGCTGGTCTCGAACTCTTAAGCTCAAGTAATCTGCCCACCTTGGCCACTCATATTTGATTTTTTTTTTTAATGAGATTTTGATTTCTGGCTTCTAACACTCATTTACCCATTAATTCAATCTGAATCATAAAATTAAAGCTTTGTGCAACAATTTCCCTACCTTTCAAACATGAATAATAACTGTTCCACTTAAGTTTCTCGTAGAGGTAAAATGATGAAGAATGTGGGTATGCTTAGTGGATAAAAGAGCTGTACGGATATAAGGCAATGTTTATCCACTTTATTATTTATTGTAGTTTTAAGCTTACCTTTCTTTAGTGAGCTGTTTTCTGGCACGCCCATGATTACTTAAAGGGATCCAAGAGTACCTTTTATACTGAATGGTTTGGTTTTAGGAGTGCTTGCCTTAAGATGAGATCCTCAAATGGTTAGAGTTAATTTTGTTGATTATATTATCTTCTTTACTCTGTATTACATTGTTCCTTTTTACTTATAAATAAATGCAGGGAGGGGAATATTGCTTAAGTCCTTTAGGTTGTTTGGTTTCTTATACTTGGCATTGACTTTCCCCTTGCTAAGCATTAATGTAATTATATCACAGCCCATAAAATTATTTTAGACTATAAGTTGGTAAGAAATTGAGTTATATCTTTGTGTGAGGGACTATTTTGGATATGTTCTTCCTGTATATGAAATAGTCAACCTAATAATCTTTAACAAATCATGTAAAAAGAGGCTTTTTTTTGGTTATGTCAGTCTTCATTTAGATATGTTGTTTCTTGTATTCATTTGACCTTTTGTTTAGATTTTTTCAAAAAGTTGAATATACAGAAGAATTCTTAGAATGCCATAAAATAAAATAGCATCAGGAATACTGCTTATAACATCTGTGTACCTGCCACAGAGTATGAATAGTAAATCAATAAAAGTATTGAAAGAGCGACAAGTTTAAGATTTTACATATACCAAGGCTTGGTGGCTTGGATTCATGACTGGAAAGTAACTATTATGTCTTATTCCAAAGAAACATCTCATAGAAAGAATGAAGAAGACCTTATATTTCAAAATGTTACCTGTGTGGAAATCTGAAACAGAGAGCAGAAGCAGGATGGATTATATTTGGTTTTTATGGGAGGGGAAAGTAAGAAGCATGTTAAGGTAGTATGGGTAGAATATAGATAATTATTTGTTACTATCTTATAAATATGTAATAAATGTATTTTATAAAATAAACACAGAAACAAGAAGAATTCTAGGATAGTACAGCTATCAGCATTAATACTGGAAATCTCATTCTTTTAAAAGCAGAGTATTTGAGAAATTCTTAAGGTTCAAGAATTGTATTTATACTCAAGAGGACACTATCTTTGGTTCCTTAGTTTTCAGCTATCTCTTTGGTTCATCAACTCTTGGTGAAGTTGAAGTGTTAAAATTTGAGAGAGTGAAACTCTGTCGTAAGTGCCAAGGAAAGGAATGTTAGTTATAATTACATGTGTACCTTGTTTAGAAAAACCAGTTTTATTTTTTCTGGACTTTTGAAACCAAAGAAACTAAGAAGATCAGGAGTTTTAAAAGTCAAAGGATGCTTGGTGCCTATAGTTGAAGTGGCTAAGGTGCAAGCCACATATACCAGAGCCAGCAGGTTCGAATCCAGCCTGGGCCCACCAAACAACAGTGACAACTACAATCAAAAAATAGCCAGACATTGTGGTGGGCACCTGTAGTCCCTGCTACTTGGGAGGCTGAGACAAGAGAATCACTTTAGCCCAGGAGTTGAAGGTTCCTATGAGCTGTAATGCCATGGCACTCTACCCAGGGTGACAGCTTGAGGCTCTGTCTAAATAAATAAATAAAAGTCAAAAGAATGTTAGGACAATCATAAATTATCAATGAGGAAATAGTTGAGGGAATCTAATAAACCCAATAATTGTGCAGGATTCGTTTCAAGAGAATTGTTTTTTAAATGAAGAGAAATCAAAGCAAGCATGTGCTTTTAAAGTCTTATGAACCTGTGATTATCTTATGAACCTGTGATCATTGCCAAGAAAATTAAGAAAAAGCAAAGGCTTGTTGAATGCCGTTAAGGAGGGCATTTTAAGTAACATGCACTGTAAATAGCAGGGAAGGAATAGACATATTGTGGATTGTGTAATCACCAATTGATGATCAA